GGGGTCGACGAAACACATGAATGTGGGGCAGGTAAAAAGACAGAGAAAGTTTCCCTTTCTTTTTTGCCCCTAACCTATGTTTCCCCCCAGCATATTTCTTCTCTCACACCACTCTCTCCCTCTTTCCTACCCTCTCTTTCTTTTTTCTGCTTTACATCACTTGGCAGCGTTTCCATCGTTGAAAACTTTACATACGAAAACATTATTAAAAAGTAATAGTGTTTTAAGTCTGTTATTACTAATATCGCAAAAATTTGCGGTACTGGTTAGTTAAATTCAAACTAAATCACAACCAATAATTTCTAATTATGATTTTGAGCATTCTTGAAAAATTAATTTTCCAAGGAAAGCATATCTATTTATTTATACTCACGAAATAAACCATAGAAATTTGCAACGCATACAAAACGTTTAAGCTTAGAATAGAGCAAGTGAACCACAAGTGCCATGGGCGCTTCCCATTCCTATCTATACATTGTATGTGTATGTCAGATTTTCAGTTTAAAATTGCTTTGTAACTTAATTTTACTGGTAATCAAAAAGACTCTTACATGATATAAACCTACATGAATATTCACATATAGTTTGTAAATTCTATTTTACTGTTTCTGACCATAAAGGATTTGATATATGTATTTATTTACTAGTATTTGGTTTACTCCACTGACGATTTGGTGTTCACTAAATCGCCTCTAGTATAACACTGCCACCTGAACGGATCTTTCTGAATGGGGTGTCAATTGGTTGGTTATTGAACCAATCAATTATATTGGGTTTTTTTCCGTTAATTCCAAGTCATTTTGTTAAGTACTGAAGTTAAAAATGGAGTTTTATTACATTCTAAAAATATGCTATAAAGATTATAGGACATATGGTTCCAAGGAACATGTTCTAATAATATTCATAACATATTTTTTTAATTAAATCTACATTAAAGGTCTTTCCACCCTCACAATTAATTTTAATGGTTCAAAAAGTACAAGCTGACTATAAAATCTGCGAATCAACATTGTTGTGGAAATAATTCAAATCCACAAATTAAATTAAAGGTCTTTCCACCCTCACAATTAATTTTAATGGTTCAAAAAGTACAAGCTAATTCAGATATGGAGGTTGCCCCCCCCCCCCCCTTTTCCCGGATTTGCAGAATTATTAAATTATGTACTGAAGCAAACAAAAAATACCAAATGAATATGGATATCAAGATTTTACTTCTAGGCAATATCATCTTTAAGCAGTAGCAGTTGGCAGTATGCAGTGAGCAGTTGGCAGTAAGCACACTGTAAAAATTGCGTTTAGGATTTAAACACTTCCATGACGTGTTTAGATCTAAACATGTATAGAAATATGTTTAACAACTAAACACTTATGTCTTAACATGTTTTATATCTAAACGTGTTTAGAAATTAAACACGTTCTGCTGTAAAGTGCAGAGTTATCTTCCCGGAAATGACACAAATACGTTAATTTAAGCGCCATCGAAACAAAGCAAATCACAAAAAGCTTATGTGACGAATCAAGGAGAGTTACTGACAACCCAGTGGATAACCATGAAGAAATATTGAAAATCATTTGAAAGGCATCTTTTTACTGCAATGTATTAGGCCCTAAAGGTATGATTACTTTTTCTAAAGATTTGCATTAATAAACCACGATGCGCAATGTAAACAGCACTGTGACTAATTGGGGTCGTTTACTGACTTGCAGGAGAGTTTATATTGGATTTCATTAAAAATAATTATATAAATATCAGTACAGTTTCCAAATAACTTGAAATATTGATGTCAATTTCATTGGGCAACTTACGGTACTTTCACTTAAATCTGACTTTTTTTTCCTACAGGTTATCATGGTTATCATGGTTATCATCGTCGGAAACCCACGGGTGATCTCGTCTTTATACTTATCAAGCGCACGTGCAAGCACGTGATTTCATGAAAAATATTATATGTCATATTGTAGGATATCTTAATGCATGACTATGTTTAAGATATCAAAGCATTTCGTGATAAGTAAAGACGAGATCACCCGTGGGTTTCCGACGATGTATGGTTATGTGAGTAGTCCAGATCGAACTCAAAGTATGTACCAAGTATACCTGGCGTCACCTTCCAAGTGCAAATTGTTGTTCCATGATCAACACTAAGAAACCTATTCTTGTGAAGTGTGTTGGGTTACCCCTAATTCGACAATGTTCGACAGTTTTGAATACATGTACCTTTAATTATCCTTGTGCATTTGAAATGGATTACTTTTCGGCAGTTACTGATAGGATTTTATATCATGTGGTGCTTTAGGACTGCTGAAAATTAATCAAGTTTGACATTTTGGTGACTGACATATGGAAAACTCTGCAACTAATTTAAACTGTTTAATCATAATTATATATAAACATAAACATTTTGTAATTTTAGTTTAAATATCTTTAATAAAGCATTTTTAAAAAAAGTTCTGGGAATTTTTTTTTATATAAAATTGCCAGCTTATTTGTTAACATAAAATACTTTATATATAAATTTTGAAGATACATAGTTTGTTGCCCATCTCTCATGATCTCTGCGTTATAAATATAAGTGTTTAGAATCTAAGCACTTATGTGCTTAGATTCTAATCGCTTTCTCAAACTGGGGTAGGTTGAGCTAGTGGCGATGGTAATTGGTAAATAAAATATCTTGTATCTTGTATACATGTACATGTAGACGAATAAGGACTGAAAATGAGAGTAAGACATAAAAATTAGAAAATACTACATATACTGAAATATTATGCATGCATAGTATGCTCGCACATATTTGCAGCTCTCAGCTGTGTAAATATATACATCACTACTAGGGAAACATTTTGACAGTTTTCTTTCGTTTCGTTGTGATTCCGTTTCGCTTCGGCAGATTTCATTTCGCTTCAGTTCGTTTCGTTTCTATTTCGTTTCGCACAGGTACCCCTTTGCGAGTTTTGTATAGGTAATAAAATATTTTACTTAAGTGAAATACGTATCCACTATGTGATTGCGCATGTTTAATCCATCACCAACTACATGTAATGCATTGTCGTTTCCACCAAGCAGTTGAACTTCATCTTGTCTACAATCCACGATATCACCCCTGTCTATTCCAATGTTGTGCAATATTGCACACGCAACGATGTACCTCGTAGCTTGACGTGGGTCTGTCCTGATATAGAATGAATTACAAATTATTTCTCCAATTAACGGTTGTTGATTTATTCTTTGTCCCGACTGACAAAATGAAATAATTGAATGCAAAATAGTGACTAAGTTCAACGATCTTTTTTAAACAATTTTTTTTAAATTATTCTTTTTTTTTTTTAATTTTCAAATGCCAAATACCTTAGTACCCCTTGTAGGCACGAAAATCTGCGCTTCAAAATTCCAAACGTTTGTTCCACTAGTACCCTTGTTTTACAAAGTGATGCATTGAATCTCTGTTGTGGGACAGTAGAAGGATTCAGAAACGGTGTCATGAGATACCTTTTACACGGATAACCAGAATCTCCGAGTAGAAATCCGTTACATTCACCTATTAAGATGTAATACAGAATTACATTCTAAAAAATACAAATAATTTGTTGGTTTTGTGTTTTTGAAATGATAGGAAAGTGATTGTAAAACAAGTGCTGTACCATTCTCAAATTTCTGACACAATGCAGATTCGCGCCATATTCGGCTGTCGTGAACGCTGCCAGGCCACACACAAATACTTGTAATTCTGAAGTTGGCATCGCAAACAGCCTTTAAAAAATTTAATATAAAACGAAACATAATTATACAAGGACAATATTGAGGCTGCTTGATTTTTAAAATGTGCGTTAATTAATCGACAACAACAACATGCACAGAATTGATGGGGCAACCTACAGTGTTTTACAGTAATAAGATTAATGAAGCGACTTTGAACCCCCCTTCTTTTTATTTAACAAGTAGGATTTGGACAACTTTTTTCTTGAATGATTAATTCTCACTCTAAAAAAAGTCTTAAATCCGTGCACATTTTTTTAAACATCGCAAAAAATATACCTGTACGTTCAACGAATGGAAACCTTTACGATTGACATAATCAGGTTCGTTGTCATTAGGGGCAATAATTCCAATAAATGTGCCATCAACACACCCTAAAACGTTTGGAAATCCTATAAGAAAAGATCAAATTAAATCAAAGCATGCATGATAAGTCTAACTCATTTTTTTCGGATTTTAAAAAAATAAATAAAAAGGTAGGCCTATATTTTTTCTTATGACACATGAATAAAACTACATAAACCGTAACCGTTTGTGTAGTTCTATAAGTATCTCTTACATGTTGAATGTTTTCAAACCATAAAAGCCAGTGCCGTCCATATGAAAAAAAAACAACTTTTTAAAAGTTATTTGAGTAGATATATTTCTTATTATTTGAAATGTCATGCAATCTAAAGAGTACGAACACATAACAGGCACCCAAGCAAACTTGTACGAGTTGTCTGTTCATTGGAGTTGTCTTTCTTTGAAAAACAAAACCGAAAGTACAATGCAGACGAAAAATGAAAAGGACATTGATAATTTGATTTCATTGGGAAGATGCGGGGTTTTTTTACCTGCTATTTTCAAAAACTGTTGTTTTGTTTCTCTGGCACGGTTACCCTTGGGGAAGGTGATACAATCTGCCAGCAAATGAACTATAGCATCACAGACTGATCGACAACATCTTCCAGTAGTTGTTTCAGACACTCCAATGCTGTCCCCGACCAGTCTGTGAAACGCCCCCGTTGCTAGGAACCTCAGGCAGGTGAGAATCTGCAGGATTGGAGGTAAGGCGCTGTTCTTCGTCGTATTATGCATAATTGCTGGACTGATTTTGTCCAAAATATATAGGATAGTTGGAGTTCTAAACCTATACCTATCAAAAATCTCATCCTCAGAATATATCTCTAATGGATTCATTCGGTCTCGTATTACTCTTTTTGAAATTCTACGAATACGTCGCATTTGTCGCCTGCGGCGCCGTTTATGTTGCGTCTGTGTCTATTCCATCCGGCAGTCCGCATATCTGTGGTCGCCCTTCAAAGGCTTGCATCAATGCGTCCTCGGAAGCTGTTAGGGAAGAAGGCGCCGGACCACCGCCTGTCTTTGGCCTTCTCAACATGTCAATCTTTTCTTTACCTGGGTCAATACATGTCCTCTTAATTTATTTTAAATATGTCTTTAGAAATTTGCATTTATTGAGCAGGCATAGATAAGACAAATCAGTTACGAAAGCCCATTTTGCTCATTTTCGTAGGTTAAAAGAATTCGCGAATAAACTTGTAACTTTAACGTTAGAGCGAAACTTTCGTGTTATAACGGGAAACTTTTGCTGTTTAACCAAGACATTTGCATAAGTCTCCTCTTTCTTGTTTGTGATCTAGTTTATTCAATACAATGAAGATTAAAGACTATCTTTATCTTGGACCATCACAAGCAATAATTATAAGTTTTCTTGCAATTGTGTGTGTCTTTCCTGTTTCTAAATCTCGTTATAACGTGAAAAAATATTTTTTAACCTACGAAAATGAGCCCAACGATTTTTCGTACATTTTCATTCATCCAGAAAAAATGTAATTTGCCTCATTCATGCAACAATGTCCCATTCCAATTTATTACTTTAACGAAAACAACAACTTTATAAAAATTGTGACCATGGTATTACCTTTCATGTATATAACAGTAAACTGTATTTCTCAGCACGTATCACAGCCGAGGGGGGGTTCCCTTTTTCCAGACATAACGTTATACTATAGAAATTAATTGAGCAATAAAAGTTAGCCCCCCCCTTACGCTCTCCCAAATAGGATTTTCGAGTTTGGATATTCCTTTTTTTCTCTCTCTCTCTTTCTCTCCCTTCTCTCTCTCTGACTACCCCTCCCCAAATTTCAGAAACGATGATACGACACCGTTTCCGTTTTCCATAAACTTGAACCAAAATGATAACAACAATGATAACAATAAACGTTTAGATGAAGTTTTGTACTGACAAAAAACAAATGGAAATCATCAAAACAAATTTAAAATAATCATCAAAAGTCTAAATGAAACCTACAAGAATTAAACGACTAAATTAAAAAAAAATTGATACCTCTTTGTTTGATGTTGTTAAATTTCTTCTTTACTGTGTCGTTGTCTCTGTCATTTTTGTAGCTTCTACAACACCATCATTTTGAATATCAACCGCCCGAGAGTATTAAGAAAAGTAAGCCATCGAAAAAAATCAGAGGAATAAGGAAACGATGACATTTAATAGCGACTTTGGTGTTCAAAGCGATATTCTCTTTCTGTATACAATAATAATTAATAGTATATGAATGTATAAAGAATACTTCAGAAAATGCTTTAACCTGTTAACACCTAATTTAAGACCACAGAACATAACTGGAAAAATTGGGGGGGGGGGGGGGGGACTGGTCAGACAATCGTATGAGAAGACTATGGATAACTATTATTTTTAGTCAGAAGTTTATTGAGATCGCCAATTAGGACGTATCAAAAAGTATCACTGAATCCGATGTAACGATACTGAGTGAGCATATAGTATAATTTGATTTGTTATAAATTATTGTTAAATGAATTGTTAATTAATTATATCAATTTCAATGAATTTAATCCTTATAACGAATTTAATCCGTTTCTAAAAATTGTTGAATTCATTACAGCAATTTAAAAATTCTTTGTATAAGCTATTATAAGAATTTATAAATTCATAATGAAATGGATAGAAAATTCTTATATACAACGAATCAAATGTGAAATGTTTTCATTCTTGTCCGTTAATCTTCTGCGATCTAAAACGTTTTCTTAAAAAAAAAACGCATCGTATTTTTTTAACTTTAGATCTAATATACAACTGCACATCAATGGATGTCAAACCGTCACGTTCCAAACAGTATTGGGTCGATATGAATAGTTACCCATGTAAAGATTGAAGGGAGATAACTACTAAACTTTATTTACAACAGGTCCGCGTTACAGCGAGTTGGAAAGGAAAAGTTAAGTAAAAACTTAATAAGCTATAATATTTTTTAAGTGTAGGAAAATTAAATGTTTTGATTGAATATGCAACAACAACAAAACTTACAAGTTAAGGGTTTCTGCGATGGATTTCCACGTAGATTCTTTCAATTTGCCATGTTTACCCTTCACCCCCGAGCCCTTCATTTTACCGAAGAGGGTCTCTTCATACTTCAAAACCTCTTCTATGAGGAGGATCTCCTCCTCTGAAGTCCAATTGGTGCCCCTTTTCTTAGGATTATTTTGTTCTGTCGGGAGTTTTACTTCGACAAGCTCCATGTTTGTGAATAAAACAAACAAACAAAGCAGACAGCAATACCTGTTTATTACGTAACAAACATTTCATCAAATTTTGTGTACTTCGTATATTTCGTGAGACCGCTTAGATCATTGAAAAAAATTGACAGAGTATGTACTCAGTAGAGTTGAGAACCTAAAAATTCATATTCAACAGAGTACATACTCAACTATGTTGGTGGTGATGATTTGAGAATGTTCCCTGTTGAGCATGGCCTCAACGCCTGAGTAGTGAATTGAGGCTGAGTACGGTATAATTTTGGTGGCGGCGGGGCCTGGGCTGGGCGATTCGTTTTTAAATAGCCCGAACTATATACGTATGAAAATCTTTAAAAAAGAAAATGTTCTTTTCAAGATCAGCACAGCCGTGATTGGTTAATTACATGTATATTCTAAATACTCATGTATTGCAGCAGCAGCATTTGAGGAAAATGTTATTATAATTCGCATGACTTATAATTAAATCATGACCGGGGATAAACAAGGGCCAAAGTTATAAATAGTCCTAAGAAAATTTCAAGAACAACAAATTAAGTCATATTTATTTAGAAATATCCCTAGGTTCCAATTAGATTCATAGCGTCGGAAACGGGTGAGGGGTACGTGCTGGGGATGGGCCAGGGCGCTAAGGCTTAGCCCCTTTTTTTGCAAAGATAGACATGATAAAGAGATTGAACATTGCCCCCCCCCCCCCCACACACACACACACTTTCAACAGGCAAAGGAAGATTGCAGGGTAAATGGTAAAAATTGGTACTGAAAGAATTTATATTTAATTGACCCTGTCTCTCTCTTCTTTTTTCTTTCTTTTTTTTTTTTGTTTTTGTTTTTTGTTTTTTGCTTTTCAAGCTTTTTCTTCTTCCAATAACCCCCCTACCCCTTTCAATTTGCTTCCGACTCCAATGTTCGAGTTTGTTAAACCATGAAGGCGGGGGGGGGGGTCATTGTTATAATGAGGAAAAGTGTTTAGAAAAGATCTTTTAGACTCATTTTCAAACAGTTGTCATTCAAAGTAATATGGAAGCATTCTCAGTAAATATATTTTAATTTGCCCCCCCCCCCCCTCCTAATATAGATAGTTTTCGATAGGCCTGAATTTAGCGAAAGTTACCTCCCGTTGGCCGCCATATTGGAGGTCGACTCAGTGATTTTCCCTCTTTGTCTTACCAAGTTTAAGAAAATATAGCAGAAATATTTGGTGGAAAATCTTTATCAAATAATTTTTTTTAAATAAAGGAGGCTTCCAAAAATTTATATACTTCAGAAAAATAATGATTTCTAATTCAAAATAGCATATATAAAAATTTTAAATTGGTTGAACAATGAAGGAATATGAGCTTTTGAACCTCCAGTATGGCGGCCAACGGGAAATAACTCTTGGTCAATCGAAAACTATCTATTGGAGGAAAAGTTGGGACGACTTCATCAATTAAATAATAATTACATGTAGCCTAAACTTTTTCAAAACTGAAGTGCCCACGTGAGCGATGAGGCCCATAGATCACTCGTTGAATGCTTTTTAAAAAAAAAATATGTAAATATTGAATACATTTGTTTCTTTTTCATCAACTTGTGTATCCCCGTCCTTGACATCACGTTCTACATTACATAATTAAACACGTGATAAAGAAAAACACGTTTGGCGACAGCGCGATTTTGTGTTTTGAGATTTTCCCTTTTAAGGAGTGAATATTACGCATTAAAAGTTTAGATTAAAGAAAACATTTTTGAAGACATGCTGTTACTCAAAGAATAAATTTAAAAATTTTCTCTTATTTGTTACTTCATTTGCAGATTAGCCTAATAATTTGAAGAACTATTTGAGACAGTTGTAGTTTCGTATCCTTTACTTCCGGCGGCCATAATATCAAAAATAGAAAGCGGTGGTGATCATCATTGGATTTACTACGCTATAAAGATGGGTTCCAATCCCGTTCCAGCTTTTTTGACAAAGCTTTGGACACTTGTTGAAAACCCTACATGTGACGATCTTATTTGTTGGGACGCAGTAAGTTTCACGTAGTTTCTTAACGCAGAAGATTGGGTATACTCAGGGACCTATATACTAACACGTTAGTATATAGGTCCCTGATATACTTGAAGTACTGAAATTCCACACTTGTGCAGAGTTTAAATCATTTTGGATGTCGTCACTATCAATGTTTTTGTGACGTTTAGTTACTGACAGGTTAGGTAATGTAACAAAAACTTAAAGAATGCTCCCGGGGTACTAGAAATTATTGACATGAACTTGAACAGGTCCAGTCCAAAGACTATTTCTACCTACGTAGCGATTAATAGCTACGTAGGTATTTAAACCTACCCAAAGTAGCTATTTTTACCTTCTCTCTGCTTTTTCTGACTTTTGTGGCCAAATCCAGGAACGGCACAACATGGTGAGCACTGAATTTCTTGATACAGTCACACTGATGATGGATATAACAAAAATTTTGCCAAACGTATATTATCAATTTTGCATAGAAACTAATGTAAAATTGCCGATTCAGGAAGTAATCATTTTTTGGCCAAAATTTTGTCGTATTCTTCATTAGTGTGACTGTATCAAAAAATATGGTAGTCACCATGTTGCGCAGTTCCTGCGTTTGGCCACAAAATGCAAGTAAAGCAGAAAGTAGGTAAAAATAGCTACTTTGGGTAGGTTTAAATACCTACGTAGCTATTAATTGCTGTGTAGGTAGAAATAGTCTTTGGACTGGACCTGTTGAAGTGACACGAGTTCCCCAAATACAGATTATGGTTTTTTTTTTAAACTCAAACTGAAGGAAGATTAGAAAAGACAATTAAATATAAAAAAGTACCTAAAGACAAGGTGTCAGTGAAGTTCCCATCAATATTATTCTCTTTAGAGAAGTGGGACAGGCTTTTACCTACATACACTTCTCTTGATTCAGAAGCCTTTATGTTGTTATTCTGGAAAACATATTAATGTAGAACTGGTGATGGCCTACACTTCAACTAAAATTTCGTCTGAAATATGTCTGATTTGACGTAACAAATGTGTTAATTAACATTCAACATAAATACACACAACTGTCACATAGACACTCCCCATGTAATTCTGTAAATGAATGAAATATAGGTCTACCCCTTCTATACAGTGCAACTACCCGCCATGATATTGGATTTTGCCTGGGACCTGTTACTGACTTACTTTAAGAGTTTCTAAGGTATACTGAGATGTTCATCAGCATCCGTTACTCTATTTTATTGAAATAAAATATTTGTAAGCTTTAACCCAACACCATTTAGATGCTTTCTCATGTTTTCCAGCATTTCTCTTTAACTCCATCACACACAGTTGGATGGATTTTTTTTATCAATCAGCTGATTCAGTTTTTACCAATGTTCATTGTATCATAATGTGAAGTATAAAATATTTCAACCTTAGACTACATTCACCTTAATTTTGAAGACTAATAATCATGATAATCATTATTATATCATGTAGAAATTAGAAAATTCCTTACAACTTTTTGAACTTCATTTGCCACCGCAATACAGCCATGTTGGGTTTCCACGGTAAATACCACACCTGGTTAATTCTGTTTTCAGTCCAGGGATGTTTGACATTATTTTTTGAGGCATTTATGGAAAGACAAAATAAATGTTATAAACTGGAAACTACATGTATATAATATTATGTATTAATATGTGAGATTGTACATTAATTTAGCAAAATAAATAAAATAAATCCCTACAGACCAAACCTTGATTTTGTAGGTTTGTCATTCTGACACTTTTGTATTGAACATTTTTTTTTCATTTCCAAGGATATCAGAAAATTTTATGGTTAACTTTATTTAAAAGAAAGTTAAAAATTATCAATGCATGTAATCGATTGTATGCTACCAATTCAGTTTGGTAATGGATTGTTCCTTTGGTCCAATTTTGCAACACTATTATAATCAGACATATTTCAGTCGGTCAAAATGTTAGTTGAAGTGTAGGCAGTACCCTGGAACCGGTTCTACATTTAATATTTTTTCCAGAATCAAAATATGAAGGTTTGGGAAGAGAAGTGGATGTAGGCAAAGCCTGTCCACTTCTCTAAAGAGTATAAATCCATGATCGAGTCTCAGAATACAATTCCAAATTGAAATTCATGAGATTAGAACCTGTTAGAATAATTCATAGTATAATAGTATGACTTAGGAACCAACATCATTATATTTTGCATTATGTTTCAGATTACATGTCTGTTGAATACCCTAGCCTGTAATTATGTTGTTTTTTTTGGTTTTTTTGTAAAATCACTCTAACAAATTCAAAGGTTTCGTTGGACCAAGTTTTTCAGACTTTCTGAACAGCTGAATATTTTGGAAGAAAAAAATATAACTCTTGCTACTGTACAACACTTCAAATTAATCTACCTTTTCTCTTTGGAACCCTATTGAATGCGTATTTCTAGCTTTTTGCATATTAAGCTACAATAACGTGGCAGATGAACTGCATGGACACAGTCTATCATTAGACCTGGCTTAGGGGACATAAAACTAAGGCGAGCTCACTTTTGATCTCAGTCTCAGTTTTACCAAAGGAATATATAGTGGAAAAGTGAGACTGAGATCAAAAGTGAGCTCGTCTAAGTTTTATGGCCCCCAGGCCTGGTCCTTTGGCCAAATCACTTTTATAATTTAATCAAGAATAAACCTTTCTAGTCCTATATGTAGCAAAGTAAGCAATTCAGGTCAGAAACAATTATACATGTACAACTACCTACATGTCCTAGTGTTGGAGAAATATCGGTAAATATTGCTATTTTGATAGCGAACAAAATTTCAAAGGTCAGTTATTTTGGATTTGAATTTAGATTTATAGAAAATAAAGTTGAAAGCCTAGCTTGCTGATTGAATGGTTGTAATATATGTTTAATAGATTATCGGTTACAGTCAGATATATTGTTTGTTGACTGAAATTCCCAACTTTTACGCTGAACTTAAAGAAAATTAAATTGCCTGACCAGTCCAGACAAGACTATGCAGTCTACAAAAAATAATAAAATTATTTAAAAATGAACATTGTTTTACTTTAACCGAAAGAAATTAAATTTGAAACAGGTTGTGAAATGTGAATGTATTTATTTATTTAATATTAATGTCATTTCAATGATACTGTAAATTTCTACAGGTAATGTGCACGTTGCTTTGATTGCAAAGTTTTATTTAATGATAAAATTAAAATACACTTAGATCAAGCTTATATATAAAACATCTAGAAATTTCTCGCACATTTGAATACACAATTCCAAGTCTTCTATCATGTTCTATGATGATCATGTTCCAGGATCAGCCCTGGCTATATTATTTGTTGATAACTCTATCAGAATGAAGATTAGTTTATAAATTTATGTAATTAGACAGACAGCTATTTATAACTCAAGGGAGCAATCTTAACTGAGACATTATTGTATTATTCAAGGTTATTTAACTGATACATGTCATCACCAAGATATAATTTTAGATCTTTATTTCCACGATTATAATCTGTGATCTTTGCAATATCCGCCTATTACCATGATTACAGGAATAAACAGAATTGACATTAAGAATGCCAAAGACAGCTGAAATGTCTTTTCTAATCAATTAGTCACACAGCTGAATACAAAAAACACTACCTGCTAATGTAAACAAAAGCACAGACTGAATGCATCAGCAGTTTTCTCATGAATATGTATCGATGTTAGGAAAGTATGCCATGTAAACATTGGTGGTCTAACGTGTCTAAACAGTACACACTTCTGTATCATATTGCTTGATTTCATTATAATACATATTTTGACAATAAATAATGGAATCAATAAAGTTACTTTATGTGTCCATGACGTAGGATTAAAATGCATATATAAATTAATTTACCATGTTTTTCAATGGTTATTTAAAGTGTCATTCAGCTCTAGTAATTGTTGTGACATATATGCACTTAAAATAGGGAATGTTGCATAACCAATCAATTGGTCTATACCTATACCCAACATTGAACATATATTCAAGGGGTTTGACGTATTTAAGGATTCAGTACATTAACTTCTGGTAATTTATCACTTGATGTGTTGATTTAGACATCTTCATTTGTTGAAAACACAAATCTTAAATTTTTAGCTCACCTGAGCCGAAGGCTCAAGTGAGCTTTTCTGATCAAAATTTGTCCGTTGTCTGTCGTTGTCGTTGTTGTCGTTGTTGTCATGTACAAATACTAATGTTATTAAACTTTTCACATTTTCATCTTCATTCAAGAACCACTGGGCCAATTTCAACCAAACTTAGTACAAAGTATCCTTGGGTGAAGGGGATTCAAGTTTGTTCAAATGAAGGGCCAGGCCCTGCACAAGGGGAGATAATTCATGAATTAGAGAAAAATTAATGGCATTTTTAAAAAATCTTCTTCACAAGAACCACTGGGCCAGGAAAGATGAAACTCATGTTGCACGATCACCTAGGTAGTGTAGATTCAAGTTTGTTCAAACGCTTCATGACCCCCGGGGGTAGGGTGGGGCCAAAATGGCCGATCAAAGTTTTTACATAGGAAAATATAGGACAAATCTTTAAAAATCTTCTTCTCAAGAACCAATGGGCCAGGAAAGATGAAACTCATGTGAAATCATCCTCAGGTAGTGTAGATTCAGGTTTGTTCAAATCATGACCCCCGGGGGTTTTTTGGGGCCAAAATTCAAAGTTTTAATAGGAATATATAGGAAAAATCTTTAAAAATCTTCTTCTCAAGAACCACTGGGCTAGGTTGATGAAACTCATTTAATACCTTGTAGTGTATAATTCAAGTTTGTTCAAATCATACCCCCGGGGGTAGGGTGGGGCCAAAAGGCCGATCAAAGTTTTACATAGGAATATATAGGAAAAATCTTTAAAAATCTTCTTCTCAAGAACCACTTTTAGGAAAGATGAAACTCATGTGGAATCATGTTTGATAAAGATTCAAGTTTGTTCATATATACGGAGGTAGGGTGGGGCCAAAATGGCCAATCAAAGTTTTACATTAGGAATATATAGGAAAAATCTGAAAACAAATTCTTCTCAAGAACCACGCCAGGAAAGATGAAACTCATTGATTTTTAATCATCCTAGGTAGTTAGATTCAAGTTTGTTCATATCATGACCCCCGGAGGTAGGGTGGGGCCAAAATGGCCGATCAAAGTTTTACATAGGAACATATAGGGAAACCTTTTAAAATCTTCTTTTCAAGTACTTCAAAGCCAAGCTTCGTTATATTTATAGGGAATCATCCTCAGGTAGTGTAGATTCAAGTTTGTTCAAATCATGAAACCGGTAAAGGGGGGGGGGGGGGTGTAAAATTCAAGCCCCCCCCCCCCCCCCCCCCCATTTACTTTCAGTTCTGATCTGATCTGTGTTTTTTCCTAGCCAATTGCTCAGGTGAGCGATGTGGCCCCTGGGCCTCTTGTTTGCCATGGTACCCCATGGTGAAATATTTGATTGTTCACTCAATAAAAAGATCAAGCTTAAGGGCAATTATATACTGTAGTTGTCTGACTGTAAAGAGTTAGGTAAAAGAGGTTAGCATGACCTTCAGGTCATGCAAAGGGTCAAGGACAGTTGTACAAATACTAATGTTACTGTAAACGTATTACATTTAGCTGTGTATTCTATTTAGCGATTTTGGCAAAAAGCAGAGTCCGCTAATTTAAGTACATCGCTAAATGTCTTGTATGTTAACTTTTATAATTAGCAACTTCAGACAGCGCTAAATCAAATCTACGCTAACTTGTTGAAAATTGAATTCCCGCCAAATATCGTACACGCCAAATGTAATATGTTTACAGTATATTATAGAAATTTCACTGCAATATTTCAGTACTAATACTGAGTTTCAAAAACATATAATCTTTTACATGTAATTTAATAAGTAGATGTTAATTAAAGCACAATTTATTCCTACTCATTTCTCATTTAAGCATTTCATGTGAAACTTGTAATGTTGCATGATTACACCTGTTTTATATACTTGTACTTCATAACTTGCAGTCTGGAAAAAGCTTCCATGTATTTGACCAAGGAAGATTTGCAAAGGAGATCCTTCCTCTTTATTTCAAGCACAGCAACATTGCCAGTTTTATACGGCAATTGAATATGTGTAAGTATATGTCTCTGTTTTCTCTCCCCCCCCCCCTTCTCAAAAAAATCATAGAAGGAAATGATGAAGAAAAAAGTTATAGCAAAAATTATAAGAAAAATAGTTCATGCTAAAAATATTTTATAATGTCTATAGTTTTTGACCAATGATTAGTAATGTTTCTTTGCAATGCAAGCAGATCTAAATTAATGAACATATTCTTCACCTTTTTTTTTGGAGGCAAATCAATGATAATAAGATTGGAAAACTAGCTTAATTATGAAATATTGATCATGCTGATAGCTAGGGATCCACCAGAGGTTAAATGTTTTTTTACTGAATAAACGCACAGGCATAGGAACTTCATTTATGAGGCAAATTGTAACATCAGTAATAGTGTGGTTTTGCTTTAAGCTCAACAAACTTGTTTTTTCGATGCTTTTAAATGGAAATCAAATTTGAATCATTGATTTCTTGCTAGCCACTTTAGCTCAATATTCTGCAGACAGTGATATTTTTTGGATGACTGAATGAGCGTCCTTGGAAAAATGCAAAATGATTGATTTGTATTGATCAGTCTGTTGTGATGGTCATCTTTTTCAGTCTTTCTGCAGTTACTGTAAACTAACTTTTATTCCTGAAGACTTTATTTCACGATTTACTGGGAAAAACTAGTTCGCAATGATTAGTTTTCGCGATAAAGCTTTTCTTTGTTAATGTAGACACAGCAACTTTAAGGATTGGTTCGCGGCGAGAAATATTCGCGATGACGAGGCTCTCGTGAACCTCATGAAAATTTTTCGCACATGAATAAAAGTTGATTTACAGTAATTTGTGAAGTACATATTGTGAATGATTTAAAACAAATTCATTAAAAATTGCATCTTGAAAGATTGATTTATTTGCAAACGTTATTTTTACATCTCCTATTTAATTTACAGATGGCTTCAGAAAAGTGACCAACATAGAGCAAGGCCTAAAGTCGGAGAAGGACGACCTAGAATTTCATCATCCCTATTTTCAGAGAGGCCAGGAACACTTGTTAGAGCACATCAAAAGAAAAATCACACATGTAATATTTTACTTTGAAATATATTTTTAGTGCATTCATGACCAGAATCGGCTTTTGCATGTTTCCTAGAATCAGCTTGATGAAAGTGACTGAGCTTGATGTTCGCAATCAAATTTGCAATGAATTATTCCAAATGCTTAATACATGCACCCTATCTCTGACTAAACATGTAAAATAATAGTGTCTTTTTCCACATATAGATACTGTAAAGTCATTAATTTCCATGGGGTCAAATTTTTCAAAGGGTCAAATTTTTCAAGGGGTCAAATTTAGTGCTTTGAAGAAAAAAATATTGGTTCAAGGGAGTTTGAATTTTGTGGTTGAAAAATTATTTTTGAAAATTTTACATTTTTTTGGAAAAACGAATTACTGATTCTCTTCATGCCACAAAAACTAAAAAAACTGACCCCCCCTTACAAATGAAAAAAAAGATTTTACAGTAATTTATAATAAATGGCATCAAAATAAGATAAGTCAAATGATTGTGCAAGCTGTTGCATGTAACCCCTTCAATAAGCTCTCAACGTAGATTAACAGATACTTAGATTTTTTTTTGCCAATTATAAATTTTTTTCTGAAAAAAAAAGTGAAAATTAACTTAATTTGAAGAAAAAAGAAAACAAGCTTCCCACGACAAAAGACTTAGATTTTTAGTTGGGTATAAATACATTAGCTTAAACCCTTCACCTCGTTCTGTGCTTGTACCATTGACGGGAGTCTGATGTAGCTGGCCTCCAGTCAGAGAAATTAATCATGTATTGTCAGATAGTCTGATTGTGTGGGGAGCCTCAACATGTTGTAGGGACAGATTAATCAGATGATAACACAAGATAATGATGAGTGGTAGACTACAGAGACAGCTAGGCTACTTGTGTTGTGGGAATTTCATCAATCATGGATGACCACATCAAAAGATATACTGCTACATGTTGCATTATATGTCTTTTTTCTTCAGTCTGTGAATTGCTATTCATTAGTGTATAGATCTTTAACACTATAGTAGCGTTAATAGTAAATCATGTGCATACTTCTAAATCGTAGGCTAAATGTCTTTCAATAATGGTGAATTGCATTCTCTCATGTCTTTACGTTTTAAATGTTTGAAGTCCATGGTCAATGAGGAAGGAGGAGGGACTGTGTTTAGCTTTCTTTGACCAGTTGTATGTCCTTTACTTATTTCACATCAGTAACTCTATGTATGTTTAAAGCAGTCAAGTTTGCCTTGACCAATGCACCCTGAAGATAGGGCAAAGTAGGTCAAGGTTATCGATTATACTGAGAGGTCAAAGGACAAATTATTTCCCTTGGACACACAAACACTCTCTAACTGATTACAGATTGGAATCAAGTGTTAATGGAATCAAAAAAAAAGTTTTACTGTTATTCATATCAACAAAGATGAAAAAACAATAAAAATGATTAACAGCGAATTTTAAATGTCATTTGTAACTTATTGACAGCATCTACCATCTCATCCAACAATCCGTGTGGATCCAGTGGTGTCAGTTTCACACAATGTACAGCCTGAAGATCTGGATAGAATGGTGGCAGAGGTCAACCAGGTCAAAGGCAAACAGGATCTGATGAACTCCAAACTGGACACCATGAAGAGGTACACCATCTCAACAGATGTCAAAATTTTTTGTCAACCTCAAAAATCAAAATTAATGTATTACAGATAATTTTATTATTTCAATCTTTGACTGTATCTATGAGATTAGAGCTCTCCTGGGCTTTTCTGATGAAATTGCCTGTATCTTGTCTATGTATTTGTTGAGCCTTGTTTGTTGTAAATAATTGATCCTGTAGATTATTCCTTAATTAATTAGTAGCATCTGATAGGTTGACATGTTTATGACTTTTGTGAATTGGCAGCATCCACTGTGACTTAACAATACCTTTAAGTTGATTATCATCAAGTGAATTTTTTTTGGTATTAGCTGATATTTTTCAACATTTTTGAAACCTTTCCATTTGAAAAATGTTTTTTTCTAATATTGATGTTCATCCTTAAAAATCCATTATGGGTATTATGAAGATTAACTTTATGCTAGGTGTTTAAACTTTGCATTTTTTCTTTAGTTCTGTTTAAGCATGTTTTGAAAGTGATATTTTTGCATAATCTGTATTCCTGAACTGAAAACAAGCAATGGTCTTCATATAGCGTCTATAACAAGCTTTTAAAAAAAGTTTTTTTGATGTTCTAAGGGAGTCCCATTTTTATATTGAGCTCTAATAATGTAACTATGGATTAAAACTAGGTGATCACTCCTACCCCAAAGACCGATTATTTGTACATGTTGTAATTGTAGAGAAAATGAAGTACTGTGGAGAGAAGTTGCCTCATTGAGGCAAAAACACATGAAGCAGACACAGATCATAAACAAAGTAAGACTTATATTGTACAATCAATACTAGAAATAATATCTAAAAGACTTCTATGTAGCAGGTTTGTATGTTATCCGATTTATATGATGACACAATTACTGTAGGAGCTTTTTTTTTTCTCCCATCTGTTATTTATATAAATTTTGAATGAATGTTCCATTTCATGTAGCCAAATTTTTTTATTAATATACATGTACATTTATCAGTTTGATATGCTTCATTTGATACCAACTTTTCAAGCCAACAGTAATTGAGTAACATACTGTACGTGTACATAATTGGGCGTATTCAAAATTTAGCACAATCAATGGATAAGGAGATTTTGGCTTAATCTTGAATTAGCACTACACATGTTCGTGCTGCATAATCTATTTATAAATGAATTCTTGGATTTATTCATGAATAAGCGCATCCTCATCTGTGCCAAAGCCGCTAATATATATAGCCCGCTATTTTAAGTACACATACAGTAGTTATGCTGGTATATACTATTGCTTGATAAATACAGCATTTGAATGACCTTTGGATAACTTTTGTTGAACAGCTGATCCAGTTCCTGGTCCATTTTGTTGGAGCCAATCGTGTGACGGGAGGAAATAAACGTAAACTGCCCCTGATGATCAGTAACACGGAGAGTCCGAAGGTGCCGAAATACAGCGAGAAAATCCTCCCCCTGTCCCCGGCCGCCTACTCAGTACAAACTGTAGGTACATTATAGGCTTATAGCTACAGAAAAAATCTTTGTTGATGATTATTATGTAACATTTAAAATATTGACTTTAGTATTTAGTAATTTATGGCCACACCAATAAAATTTTTTGTTAGTCGGACCTGCCCGCTTGTATTTAAACAAAACTATACAAATAATATTACGCAAGTAAGTTAAGGTTAGGTAGAGGCTTTTCTATGCAATTTAGCTAATGAAAATGCATAATTTGTGTAATTTTTACACAGGGAAGGTCCAAGTTTATTTCCTTATACATACTTTGTACACACAGCATTATAAAGTAACTGTACATTATGACGTCATATTATGACGTCATTGATCTTTCTCAATCGAGATGATAAACACATCAACAAAATAACGCCGGTGCAAGGGCATATCATATATATTTTTTAATGTATAAAGTAAGATATTAAGATTAATGTTATAAAAATTAATAAAATTGCTGCACAAATCCTAGGCGCTTTCTCAATTGATGAAAATTTTAGGAAACTTACAAGGGACAGTGAATTTTTACCCTGTTACAACTTAAAGCTTTTGAAATAATAACTAAACAATTGCACTGTCAACATTTGTGCAGCAGTATCATAAATCGTGTTAATATTCTGTGTCTAATAATACCTTGTTTCTGAAGAACAAAGTTGAATATGCCCTTGCGCCAAAGCTGTTTTGTTGATGTTCTTTATAAAGTTGTGTAGTACAGGACTATGACGTCACAATATGATGTCATAATGTGCACTGGCTAAGGAATGTCATGGATACCAAGTTTGTATAAGAAAACAAGTTTTAACTTTTTCTATGCTGTAAGTCCAGCTCTTATGCGTTTTAATTAGTCAATTGCATAGAAACTTCTATACCTTGCCTTAACCTACTTGCGTACTTTAAATTTCCTGCACCATGTGCTAATTTCTGTTCCATTTCCGCTCTATCATATTTTTAATCTGCTTACTCTGCGAATCAGAGAAAAATATAATTGTCCACTCAAGTTTTTTCATGCTCCGCCTAAAAATTTTGCGATAAAGAATATTATTTTTTAACCGCTTGCCTGCTCGTACTTTTTTTCATCCAATGACGAACAAGAAATTGAATTGGTGTGGCCTTATATGGCTATGTTTCATATAATGATAAGCAATGCTGCATGATTAAGGTTGCAGAAAGTTGATGGTAAATTAAAAGTGAACTAGGTGAATAATTTTTTTTTATAATTTCCTAGTATGTTCTGTTGAAAAAACAAAAAAGAAAATTGAAAAAATAGAGAGAGCTGCGATTTATCTTTAAATGTTACAAGATTAAATCACAAGAAGGATAAAAAAAAAATTTGTGAGAAATTCAAAGACCTTAGTACATTGCACCGTTTTATGTACTTACAGGTGTACTAGTTTGGAAAATTTTAAAAGTTTTTCTAATCAAGTTTCAATGCTTTGGTTTGCAGCCTGAGTCTTACAGTAACTTGAGTAACAGTAAAGGTCCTATCATACATGACATCACAGACCTACAGGAGGCTCCCCCACAACAGACTGCGGCCAACATAAAGAAGGAGCAGCATCCATACATAGACATTGGCCATCTGGCCCTTCCTTCTGACCTTGTGTCCTCAGTATGTATTTATTTTTCTGACATATAAATTATTTTTAGCTCACCTGAGCCAAAGGCTCAAGTGAGCTTTTCTGATCACAATTTGTCCGTTGTCTGTCGTTGTCGTTGTAGTCGTCGTTGTCGGCGTCGTTGTTGTAAACTTTTCACATTTTCATCTTCTTCTCAAGAACCACTGGGCCAATTTCAACCAAACTTGCCATAAAGTATCCTTAGGTGAAGGGGATTCAGGTTTGTTCAAATGAAGGGCCACGCCCTTTTCCAAAGGGAGATAATTATGAATTAGAGAAAAATAAATGGCATTTTTAAAAAATCTTCTTCTCAAGGACCACTGGGCCAGAAAAGATGAAACTCATGTGGAATCATCACCAGGTAGTGTAGATTCAAGTTTGTTCAAATCATGACCCCCGGGGGTAGGGTGGGGCCAAAATGGCTGATCAAAGTTTTACATAGGAATATATAGGAAAAATCTTTAAAAGTCTTCTTCTCAAGAACCACTGGGCCAGGAAAGATGAAACTCATGTGGAATCATCACCAGGTAGTGTAGATTCAAGTTTGTTCAAATCATGACCCCCGGGGGTAGGGTGGGGCCAAAATGGCTGATCAAAGTTTTACATAGGAATATATAGGAAAAATCTTTAAAAGTCTTCTTCTCAAGAACCACTGGGCCAGAAAAGATGAAACTCATGTGGAATCATCACCAGGTAGTGTAGATTCAAGTTTGTTCAAATCATGACCCCCGGGGGTAGGGTGGGGCCAAAATGGCTGATCAAAGTTTTACATAGGAATATATAGGAAAAATCTTTAAAAGTCTTCTTCTCAAGAACCACTGGGCCAGGAAAGATGAAACTCATGTGGAATCATCACCAGGTAGTGTAGATTCAAGTTTGTTCAAATCATGACCCCCGGGGGTAGGGTGGGGCCAAAATGGCCGAGCAAAGTTTTACATAGGAATATATAGGAAAAATCTTAAAATCCTCTTTTCAAGAACTTCAAATCCATGCTTAGTGATATTTATATGGAGTCTTCCTCAGGTAGTGTAGATTCATGTTTGTTCAAACCATGACCCCCTAGGAGGTTAAAATTCAAGCCCCCCCCCCCCCAACCCAAATCTCAGTAAACTTTCAGTTTGGATCTGATATGTGCTTTTTCCTAGCAAATTGCTCAGGTGAGCGATGTGGCCCCTGGGCCTCTTGTTTTATGTGGGTTATGCATTTTTCTGTAACAGCTGCAAAATTTTTTCCCCTATGAAGGAAAAAATGATGAACAACCAAAGAAAGCATTTTCCTTTTAAGATCCTGTTACAAATAGATGATGTAAAGCCATCTACCTCATGTTTTTACTTATGTCTGTAAATTTGAATTCTATTTTCTGTTTATTAAAATAGCCGACTACAGCAGATCACACTCATGAGAAGGAGGATATGAATCTGTTTAATGGAGATTTGTTATCTGAAGCCGCATCAGAAATTATGCCCAAAGTGATCTCCATATCGGACCTGGGGAAGATAGATCACATGCAACACATGCACCACATCCCCATGACGTCAGAATCAAAAGGCTCGCCAGCAGGCTCTGTGTCTTCAGTAGGGTGAGTTGATAGATTAAAGATTTCTTGGCTTGGGAATTAACGTTTGTTTGGATAGATTTATACATGTATAAATGAAAATACATTCAGACATGATTATATCTGTAGATTAGGTCACTTCTTCAAGTTAAGATTATTTATTTATTAGACCTCATATATTATCTATATACAGTTAAACTTCATTATCTTGAACCTGATGGGACTTAGAGAAAACTTCGAGATATCCGAGGATTCGAGATATCGAAGGTTAAATACTTAAAGAATATGTGGTTGGGACTCCCAAATCACTTCGACATATCCATGGTGTTATCGAAGTTCGAGATAGTGAAGTTCAACTTTACATGTATTAAGTGAAGAATGTTTTTGGACAGACATTCACTCAATGGGTAAACAGTGACCTATAAAAGTCAAAGTAAACCTTTATTTGCTTTGAAATTTAGCTCCAGTTAAAACCTCTATTGAAGGCAGGTTTGAAAATTTCAAAACCTGAAACTATATTGTAAAGATAAAATTCTTACAATATATGTAATTACAGGAGTGGTGGCACATTGTCAAAGCCATTCACCAGGCAGAAGTCAGTGTAAGTGTCTTGGTTTATTTAACCTGATGATAAGGATTTAACTGTCGGAGTAGATATTTATCATGGAATTAAGAAATGCTGTTGAGTCAGGTAGAGGCCAGGATTTGAAATTTTGAATGCAGTATACTTTGTATGTAAGAAGAAAGAAAGAATGTCAGAACTGGATTAAAAGTTTTAAATATTTGATTTTCTCATTCTCTTATAAAAACCTCAATGTTGATCACACTAGAATAATTTTATAATGATCTAAACATTTACATTTAGGTTTATTTCAGAGAAATTTACAGCAAATTTCTTTGAAATCACTGTGCAGATGTAGATCCTAGTACTTCATTGCATTAAGCATGTTAAATATGTGTTTGTAGGTCAGAGATGTCGGATCATGTGGACTCTGTGAGCTCGGATCTGGAAGGACTGAAGGACTTTCTGGCAGGATCCAACTATTTTGATCAAAATTTGTTACAAGGGGTAGGCTTTGAAATCGTCCAATTGATCCTTACTTTGTTTCCCCTTTCACATTTCATCCTGAAATCATAGAAATACAGCTGTATAGTCTGGGAGAGATTATACATTCTTCAGAATACATGTGTCATCTTAACAGAGCTGTTCATCATGATTCTGCATGTAGAAAACCAGTCATGGCAATCTAAAAAAACTGTTTTCCCAGTCATTATTAATGTATGCTTTTAGCTTTAATTTGTACACATGCAGAATTATTTATATAAAAAGATAAATATTCCCCCTGTCATGGTTTTCAGTACAATTCTAAGGTAAGCTTGGACTCTCAGTAAGGCGTGGCACAACGTAATTAGCGTCTGTCAAATGGCAAATAGATTCTCATTGGTTAAGAAATTAATAACATCAGGAACTTTAAATTTTTGTTGACAACAATGAGACAACTTAAGCCCCGCTTCCGTGCTGTGTGAGAACTTGCAGTTGGCTATTTACTACACTCGTTGACATTTGGCCAAATTTCTATCGTATGTATATTTCAACAGTGAAGGAAAGCTGTGTAAATTTCAGAAGCTTATTATGTAACCTTGAGAAGGCCATGCCTCAATGAAAGTCCAAGCTTAACTGGGAATTGTACTCTTTGCTTATATAAATCTACTATAGAAGTAGGCAACATAATTTAACAAATTTAGCTGGCTACATTTGGTGACCAATAGTAGCCAAATTGATTTTGAAAAATAAATCATTATATTTTTTGGAAATACTGCTATGTTAGTTGTTACATTAATTAGATAAAATATCAGTCATTATCTATGGCCAAAATTGTCAAATTTGTCACAGGATGATCCTTGGCCCAAGGGCTACCATTTATTATAAAACTAGGGTTGGGACCCTTAAATATGCTTGTGTTTAACAAGGAAAATAAAACCAAAAGTACTGGTTCTTAGAGAGAGTTCTCCATAACCACCAGATCATATTTTTACCAAACTTTACAAGCATCATGATATGTTGAAGATTAAAATTTGCTATTAAAAAGTACACAAGTTCTTTGAGGGCATTGGAAAAGTTCTGATATCTGTTATAAAAAAAAAGTGACAACAATGACCATGTATGATTGATAAAAGCTGTAAAGTAAACACACATTGGACTTCACATCATGTTAATTCACCCTACTTTTTTAATTTTGTGGGCATATTGTTACAAATTGATTTTAAGGCTCCAAATTTTGGACATGTAAGGCCTAGAAAAAAAATATGTTTGTTTCCAATGCTTTAAAAGTAGGTCTAATTTATAGCTGACCCTAAAATTTTTTTTAATGCTTTTGTCCCATGATGTGCAAGATTTCAACCAGGGAATTATAAATCCAACTTTGCAAGCTTTTCAAGACAGAAAGAAGTTTGGGTCACATTTCTATTGTAAGTTAAGTCACAGTAATGCTTGAAAAACCATTTCATATTTTGTCATTAATGTTACTTTGTAGTTGACGTTTTGATTAAAGAAGCAAAAAAAATTTATTAAATGAAAAAAAAAAAATTGCCTACCTACCTACCTATATTTTTTCAGCCTGAAAGCGGAAACAAACATATTTTTTTTCTAGGCCTAACATCAAATAACATGCATAATATATGTTTCCTAGTCTTTTCAAGTTTTTGTTAAATAACTTGCATTTTATCAGAAAATATCATATGCTCTTTGAATATTAACTTCTTTACTCTCATTTCATAATAACACTTTCAGTTTTTATCCTCAGAATTTGCATCTAGCATATAAATCACTAAAGACTAGTAGTGTATTTCTGTTTCATACCCGAATAAATTATCATGATAAAAAAAAAAATTAAATATAAATTAGAATAAATAAATGTAATTATTTTTTTTTTACTGTTATTTACTTATTTTTGTTTTAATGTCTCAGATCAATTAAATACACAAATTAATTGATTTAATTTATAATCATTTTCAGCTGTTTGATTCAGACCAGGAACACTTTCATATGGGAAATGCAGTAAGTCTGAGATAGTGTCTGCTGTTGTATATCTATACATACATGTAGCTATCTTCTGCTTTCCCATTACTTGTAATCACATAGGATTTATTTAAAAAGAAATTAAATAGAATGTTCTTTTAATAATTTGTATTGTTATAATATCAACCAGAGAAAATATAGGTTTTTTCAAAGTTACAAATCAATTTTTTTTAGCTACACCTGATGAAGGCTAAAATGAGCTTTTCAAAAAATACCACACATCAGAATCGTCGTATATTTTTGTGTAAACTTAGTGTCACATTTTCATCTTCTTCTCAAGACCCACTAACTGGGCTAATTTCTGACCAAACTTGGTACAAAGTATGGCCTTGGGTAAAGGGAATTACAATGTTTACATTCAAATAAAACATCATGGTCATTTATCAAGGGATATATATCACTAAACAACCAAAATATGATGGTATGATTTTAAAAATCCTCTCCTCAAGAACCACTGTGCCAGGTCATTCTCAAATTATGAAACATGATAGGGAAACATTCCTCAAAAAATATTGTAGATTTCAAGTTTGTTAAAATCATGACCCCAAGGGGTCGGGCGGGGCCACAATGGTCGATCAAAGTTTTACAAAGAAATATATAGGAAAATTCTTTAAAAATTTTCTTCTCAAGAACCACTGTGCCAGGAAAGATGAAACTTATGGGGAAGCATCCTCAGGTAGTGTAGATTCAAGTTTGTTCAAATCATGACCCCTGGGGGGTCGGGCGGGGCCACAATAGACGATCAAAGTTTTACATAGAAATATATAGGAAAATTCTTTAATAATCTTCTCAAGAATGGCAAAGGCATAAATGATCATATTAATATGGAAGCATCCTCAGGTAGTGTAGATTCAGCTTAGTTTAAATCATGACCCAATGGGTAGGGCAGGTCCACAATGGTCGATAAAGTTTTACGTAGAAATTATACATAGGAAAATTCTTTAAAAATCTTATACTCAAGTACTACTGAGCCGGAAAAGATGAAACTTATAGGGAAGCATTATAGGGAGTGCAGATTCAGTTTTATTAAAATCATGACCCCTGGGGGTAGGGTAGGGCCACAATGGCCGATCAAAGTTTTACATAGAAATATATAGTAAAAATCTTTGAATAGCAAAGGCAAAGATCATATCTTATATAAAAGCATCCTCAGGTAGTGTAGATTGATAAAAGTTCAAATCAAACACACACGGGTGGGGCAGGTCCACAATGGTCAAATAAAGTTTTACATAGAAATATACATAGGAAAATTCTTTAAAAATCTTTCTCAAGAACTTACATTTAGCCAGGAAAGATGAAACTTATAGGGAAGCATCCTCAGGTAGTGCAGATTCAATTTTATTCAAATCATGACCCCTGTGGATAAGTTAGGGCCACAATTGCTGATCCAAGTTTTACATAGAAATATATCGACAAATTCTATAAAAATTTTCTTCTCAAGAATAGCAAAGCCATGATTATTCATATTTATATTGAAGCATCCTTAGTCAGTGTATATTCAAGTTTGTTCAAATCATATCCTCTCCCCTTTAAGGATTGGTTGGGATCACTTTTGGTTTTAAACTTTTCAATAATAGACTGCATGATTTCTGCTTTTTTCCAAGCTACAGTGCTCAGGCGAGCGATGTGGCCCATGGGCCTCAATTTTTAATTAAAATTTTTGCTGAATTTCATGTATAGTTTTACCGTTTTAGAAACATAATTCAAAAAAAATTCTCAAAATCAGTTAAGGTCAGTAACTATGAAAAGGGTTTGTTCTTCATTGCACCTGGTCCCACCTCTGGTGTTTTTGGGGGGTCTGTGCTTGCTCTTAAATGGACTTATAGCTTCAATACTGTTTGATATCACCATATTTTATTTTTGGGAGCCTTTTCAAAGTGCAAGGATGTTAAAATATATAATCCTATCATAGACGAAAACTTTACTTTCAACAATCACATGTTATACATCAAGAAAGTCACAGGAAGTCAAATAGACATTCATAACATAATACTCATAGCACAAAATACTTGGAGCACAATCTTAATATAAAACAAGCAGATTCTTGTTGGGTCAGCAAGGGTTAAACCTGAGGAGTTTTCTTCTCTAAGATTGATAAGCAAAGGTATGCTCTTATGTACAGGTAAGGTGTTAAAGTGACACATGTATACTGAAAGTATTGGATCGTACAATAAAGTAGAAATCCAATATTTCCAAAACTAAATGTAATTCAGATTTATAAAAAAAAATTCAAAATAGGATTACTTATATTTCAATGTTTAAAATATATTTCCTTTTTTCAGCTCTTCAATGCAGATGGAAGCATTAATACAGCAGCTGGTGATTCGGTGAGTTGTATGTGTGTGATTAGCAGTGTAACATTAATGTAATTAGCAGGGTAACATTAGTGAAAGAACGAGGGCGCTTTTGATTGGCATTCGGCAGGAATCTGGGCGTAATTGAAAAGTGAAAATTTTATTGACATGTGACTTGAAATTTAACATTTTTTTTATTCATCGGCTTCCTGTGCAACAGGAAAGGAAAATATTTTCCCGAAATTGAGCTTTGATTTGCTAAAAAATAACTTGAAAATTGGCCAGATTAGACATTTGGTACAAAATGATACATTTTTAAACAGGTTTTTCTAAAAATTTTCTATCTCTGGGTCTTCTCTCCATGATTTTGAAACGTTATTTGTTTGTATTTTAATTCAAAGAAACGAATACACTTTTTTATAAAAATGGAGAGAAGACAAAGCATGCTTAGGTGAAGGGGAATTTAAATTGTTAAAATGAAGGGCCAAATCCCTTCACAAGGGGAGATAATCAAGAAAAGACAAAAAAATGTCATTAAAAAACTTTTCACCAAAAAATCGAAATGTGTGAATGTGGTGCTTCTTTGTCCTTTTAAAAGCTTCTGGATATGTGTAGCGGTGGTAGCTCAGTAAGATTGGCTACCTGTTCAGTGCACTCGAAGTGAAAAGTTTTTGATTCGAGTCTGGCATTGGGTGTTAATTTTTTTCCCCTGCAAACAACCATTTATTTTGTCAGTTTCATTTTATGTACTGATGTATTAAAATTTTGAATTAGATAAATTTTGGTTCAGTTTGGTTCTCGAGCTAATCTTCTATTCTATAATGTACATATGTACACGTATTTTGCATCATTAAACAATTCCCCTGCATAACAACCATAATTTTGTATGTATTAATGAATTAATTAATTATATATCTAAAATTTTGAATTAGATAAATTTTGGTTCAGTTTGGTTCTCGAGCTAATCTTCTATTCTATAATGTACATATGTACACGTATCATGCATCTATGCATTAAATATTTTAGGTGTTTATTTTTTGTGTAACATTACTATGTTATAGTACCCCCTAGGAAAAACGGACATAAATGTTACAATTTCACAATGTCTTTCAAACTAGATGAAAAAAAACTCATATGGACGTGTTTGTAAAATCCAACCAGCTATGTTCAGCCAACCAAATCATGGACATTTAAACCATAAATGTTTCGTACAAATGATTCCTGCATTTCACTCGCCAAATGCGCCCATCTTCTTTGCAGGGTTACATTAGTGTAATCGGCAGGGTAATATTAGTGTGATTAGCAGGGTAGGGTTACATTAGTGTAATTAGTAGGGTAGGGTTACATTAGTGTAATTAGTAGGGTAGCATCAAAAAAAGATAAATGATTTTCACATCATTATTTTGTTTTTTCAGATCTTAGCAGGATTGGACACAATGAGGCCAGACGAAGGATCAAATTCAGGTAGATAAATCTTTCTACCCAAACCACAATTGTCACACTCAATTCCTGTACTTGTACATTTGTGTGTTTTTTACTTAGCTGAACTGTGGCTAAAATATTGAGTTATTTAAGAAATAAACAACAATGTTAAAAAGTTCTCTGGGAAATGAACTTTTAGAAAAGTTGGTCATCTATAGTGTGATCAAATCCTGTGAATAAAGCCCAAAGGGCTTCTATAGTAGATTTGATCATGTACCATTATTAATATAACATTAAAAGTATAAATATATTCCCAGTGAAATGTTTTTAACAAAAAAAGAGAAATATATGTTGATAATTATTTAAATTTATATTTACATTTGAGACGAATAAATTTCAAGTAAAATTGCATTTGTTACATGAACGGGCTGTCGTATTGCTATGTGTGACACACAATGACCTAGTAGTTGTCTGGTCAAAGTTAGTTGACCTCGCTCCAACAATTGAATGTTTACAGTTCAATTCAGGAAATATCTGTATATAATAAAAAGATCAATGATCGCTGCTGAAAATTCTTATTAATTTCTTACAATATTTGAAGTCAAAAGTGGTGGTATCGCCTGTTTACGTGACTTCAAGGAATTTTTGGTTAAAAAGTCACATCAAAAGAAGATTTATTGTACATCTTGTGATTGAAAAATATCCATATTGTTTATCATTTTCATCATTATTAACTTAGAAATATTCCAAAACAAGTTGCACTGTGGCAGAAATATGTAGACAAAATATCACCCTGCTCTGTGATTCGGTCGCGCTATGACCTCTGACCCCCAAATAACATTCACACAGAATTGAACATATTATCTCTTCAATAGGTTCATCTAAGAAAAATATTTGCAAATGTAAATATTAGAAATATAGGCTTGTCATTTGAAATTTTTCTGAAGTATAATTGTTGCTGTACTTTATAACACAAAAAAAGATGTTTTATCTCCACAAATGAATAAAGGAATAATAGGTATTTATTATACTTCTGTTAAAATGTTTCCTATATAAAACTCAAAAGGTAAAATAGCCATCTTTTATAGTTCATGCATAGCAAAGCTATACCCCGGGGTATAGTTTTTGCTATCCACCCTCGGAAAATTTTCATGCAATTTTTGCCTCCAATTTTGATTTCCAGCGATAAATCTATTGACTGATGATGTCATAATTACTTCAGCAGCATTGTGACGTCATTAAGATTTCATATTATTCTTGCAGTATTATCTTACTCCAAAAAAATTCAAACTTCAGAAATTATATTATACATCAGTATAATAAAACGCTTATCCACTGGTTGTGAGTGAGATAGCTCTTTTATCAAACCCTTGACAGGGACTATTCCCCTCGGGCAGGCCCTGATAAAAGAGCTATCCCACTCACAACCAGTGGATAAGTGTATATTATCTCTTTAAGAGTCTTAGTAGAGTTTCAATCCACCTTAATTTTTTACAGCAAAGTATAGTACTGCAGGTTAAAATTTATGGTTATTTACGTTGATTATAATATACAGATAAAACGAATTATGGATATAGGGAAGAAATTTCATAAGTCCCAGAGACTTCGTTATAACTGAGTTTTACTGTATATTGATCATTTTTGGTATGAAAAATGCTTATGATGCATGTATTTGTTGTAGGGCCTCTAGTTCACTACAAGCCTGGAGACGAGGAGATCCCTGACCTTTTTGACCTTGCTGAAATGTCCAAGGAGGATCACGAAGCAGAGACTTCCAAGGAATCCATGGATCAAATCAAATCAGAGGCCCTGGATACCCCCCTCCCCATCCAGATATCCGCGGATGACCTGGATTAAGTACACAAGCACTTACTCTTATGTACATATTGTATATTTCTTTGATCGTGAGTATTTGATGTGCCATTTTATTTAGTGCATTTGTTTTTCATTGTTTGTTACAGAATGTGAGTTGTTTCCTTATTCTGCAAAACATTGTGGTTGTGGATTGTTAAATGTTTGTGAGTGTGAGCGAGAGAAGGAACTTAATCCATTTATTCAATAATTGTTAAAAAGAGTTATGCCTCTTTGCATGCAAATATTTTTATACCATTAACATTAAACATGGGGCATTATAGGGAAATGGTGAGTTAGAGAATTCTAGAAGTAAAGTTTTTTTTAAGATTTGTAAATAATCATCCAGGTCACAAGGTGGCATATGTAAAGATTTTCAACCTGCACTTCTCTTTGAAGAATTTCATAAAAAAAATCATTTCATTTGATATTTTGAGGTAGATATAAATGTGGTTCACTCTGGATAGATACTGTATTTGCATTCAGTTTCAGAACTAAAAAAAAATTTTTCATTTGGAATTCTTCAATAATTATAAGCCTCAGGGCTCTCGATTCTCTAAAATTGGGGCCGTTCAACGGCTCCGTTCCCAATGCAAAAAAGGTACCTTTTTTCCCAAAAGAAAGGTGTAAATTTCCCAATTTCCATCCAGAGTAAAATATTAATTAAAAAATAAAAGTCCATCAAACCTAATCGCAAAAAAAAAAACGCAAACAAAACACATTTGCAAATGAAAGTGAAACTGTACTACTATTTTATTAGTTCACGCCAAATGCATTCGTAAACTGGTTCGGGGAACCAGGTTATTGTTTTTACAAAAATGTATACAACTATGAGTGCAGAGTATCTTGTTATGTAGTTTCGACAAAAACCAGCATTTTGGTTTCAAAAATAGACATTTCATTTAAATATTAGTAAGCTGCACCTAGAAACATACCCGCGCTTCAGCATTTTCAGTCTCGCGCTGTATTGGTAAGCAGAGTTGCCCATGTGATCGAGGAAATTCGGGACTATGTGACTAGCGACTGTCACGCAGTAAGACATATAACCGCAATATCAACACTCAAAGATAGTAATGACAAAGCTAATGTGCTTTCATAAATAGCCTACGTACCCATGTTTGTTCTTTTTAACTGTTTATTCAAACCAGAGTTAGCATTGATAATAAAATGCTAGAAAAGCAAAATTTGAGGATTTTTAAAAATGAATTTGTGTTGTCCAACTTTTCCCAAAATGACGATAATTTTCCCAATTTGAACGGCCCCGGCCCCAGTCCCAAAAAGTGGTGTGAGAGCCCTGAGCCTACTCATTTATTTTAATGATGATCATGTTTGTGCAAACATTACTAAGATTGTGTTATGTGCACATACAGATCTATGTGTTGAAAATAACACATTTTACATTTAGGTGCATAGGAACTGTTGGAAAAGAAGGTTTTTACACAATGCTATACCATGTATAGTTTTGTATAATCATTAAAAATTTATACCTCAGAAAGAAATGATTTCAGTTTAATTCTTTAACTGCAAATAATTTTTTTGGATGTCATGGAAATTTTTTTGTTGCCTTTATTTATGTTGTCTTGAAGTCATTTTATCTGTTGGCAGAGTTGTTTTGCCAAATTACTATTAAGTCTATTTCCTATGTAAAATTCCATGTTTTACGTATTTTTTTAGTTGTAGATTTCATTCCCTGAATAATTTTGTACATTTGTTTTCCATTAACATTATTGTATATTTATTTCAAGGTTCACATTCGTAAAAAGAAAAAACAAAGAAAGAAAAAAAAGAGAGCAAACATATACCCAGTGAATCAGATTTTCTCTGTCATAATGAAGTCCTTTGTAAATAAGATTACCAGTGTTTTCTTTGTTATAGTCTCTTTGTTTCTTGGTATGTACAAGAAATTCCTTTGTTTGAGTGGAATTTGTTTATTGTAAGCCTGTTTTATAAGGTTATTTTTTTGTTACAGTATTTAGGATCATTGTGTTTTCTTCATAAATGAAGAGCTATTATTTTTTTTTAGTTTTAAGTCATTATAGTATGGATAAAAAAAAACACATACTCATAAATTCCCCTCCTTCATTGCATTAATTACAACACAGAGCAGTGTTAGAGACTTGATTAAGGTTTCTTTATTCAATGCTCATATACCTCAGATTTGCAACAGAACATTATCTTCTATACAAAATTTTAATATGGTAGGAACAATTTTCTGAAAGCAAATCAAACCATCCCCCATCCTGCTTTTGATAAATGATTGAGAGATTTGAGGGTTTTGTGAATATTTAATAAATGATAGGTCAGATTTTTTGTCTTCGTCAAAATTTATACCATTATTGGATCAGAAGAATTGATTTAGTTGAATTATAAACAACAGAGAAAAAAGTTTGATGTGTATGTGAAAATGTATTCTGGTAACAATGCCCTCCCTTCCTGGGGTCCATTCATAATTGCAAAATGATTAGCATGCTAATTATGATTTGGATTTTGTGCACAAATGACACATTTCATCAAATCTAATTGGCCCTTTGATGCATAATGAATAGATTTCGTTTTTAATGTTGAAGAATGTTGTAATTTTGCTTTAATATATACTCTATATATAATACACATAAACTAGTTTGATTTTGGTTAAAGTTACATTTAAATTATATGTAAAGAGACTAAAATTGGAAATAAAATATTGAAAACTATATTTCAGATTTTTGTTCATTAATTGCATTGATACATGTATGCTTTTACCATATATAAGCAAATATTTCAAATGCTGCTTCTTCCAAAGAGTATTTTCATAAAAAAATAAGGTTTCTTATGGTGACACTGTTCATCCAAGGCAGTTAAAGTACAAGATTCTGAAAGTATTGCATTAGCAGTGCTAGTCCCCAACAGACAAGTGTAATGTGGTTCCCATAAAATGTGAAAATGCAGTAATTCCGTCAAAAACATGGAAGCAGAATGAAATGCGAACAATATGACTCCTCAAAATGCACTTGCATACCAAAATCAGCTCATTTTCTTGCAAGCATTTGAAAAAAGTGCAGAAATCCAGGTGTGCATGGCCATAGGAACTGGAGAGGGGACAAAATAGAATTTTGCTGACATGTAGTATACTATTGAAAACGTAGCAACTATATGCTCATGCCTCCTCAATAATTTTTTGCTTGTCAAGGAATTTTTGGTAGTTGAGAGTGCTACCAAATGAAAATATATTCCCCCAACTGAAATTGCTTCCTGTTGGCCTGGTGTGACAGAGAGACGAGGAGAAAAGCTATGGTCCCATCGGGCGGTTTCACCGGTAGTAGACTAAACATGCAAGGGATGCTCTCACTCCTTCATGGCACCTGGTCCCACCTCTGATAACTTGGAGGTTCGTGTTTGTTCCTCTCCTATTGTGTAATGTTTTTATGGACTTTTGATCTGGAATAGGTTCAACTGTTATACTTATCTCCATAAATATTTCATGCTTAATAATGTATGGAAATTAAAAATTTGCATCCGGTATTTTATTGCACCTATAAGTCACTTGATATAATTTGTAAATTTCTGCATTCGAATAAATGTGTATAAATATTAGTTTTAAACGTCATCGTCGCAAACCATGGCAAAATTGTACGACTCTTTCCCATTCAGAGAGCTATATGCGGTTCCGAACCGTGGATGGATTGAGACGATGAAGTTAACTTATCATATGGACAATGACAATGATAAGTGAAATTCTAATATAGAATTTTATTTTTTTTTAAAGAATGTGACAATAAGTTTAATTAATGATGAATCCTATTGCAGAAGTGAAATTGACATTGCCTCATTCAGTTCAGAATGTATATTAATTTTTAGCCGGGCTTATTGCTCAGAGAGCAATTGCCGGCTTATGTGATCCTGTTCAAGGCAGGATGTTGACCCCATAGTCGCCATTTTAAAGTTACGTGCAAAAATATAGTGTATTGCTAACATCAACCGCTTTTGAGATAATACAAACGCTAAATAAAGCAACAAAAATAAAACGAAGTTTTATCTATATAAAATAAATATTAGTAGTAATGACTTTGAAAACTTCATAAGTCAAAGAACATAGTTCATTAGCTTTAAGGATTTTTGATAATCAGTGTTACCGTAGTTCTCTACACATACGAGGTAAAGCAGGAGAGGGAACCAGACTGGCCTGTTTGTTTACATTCAGCTGCAAATTTACCAGATTAATAAAAATTCTGACAAAGTCGGACCGTGGTATTAGGATTGAAAAACTCACTGTCAGTGTCTTATCATTTATATTGATAGTTTTAAAATAATTTTTTCATCAGAATATAAACGTGATTCATGTAAGAAATCCATTCTACTCTGTAAATGAGCCCGGCTCTCTGTACTTCTGAGTACTTTGATTTTTACATCACTTGGGAGAACTAGGGATGTGAAATGTCAAAAATTGAGTGTATTACTAACATGAGATAACAATTATATGCAATTAAGTCGCGTCTTGTAACTAGACACATTAATGTTAATTTCTCAAATATAATATTTCACGTAAACAATTACGTCTGGTATAATTTCATTTAGTGGGCAATATTAGGGCTGTTGTCACCTATCCCTTTAGATGGAGGCGGTTATGTTAAAAAATTACGACTGTGTCTGACAAATTCAATGATAACGTAATACAATGGCGGAATTGAAAATACTGTCTTCTCACAAATGTTTATTAAAATAGAAAGTTTGGTGAAGTTATAACATAAAATAGGAGATATGGTGTTGTCATATCACCAAATTTTTTATTTTAATAAAAATTGTGAGAAGACAATACAAATTAAAATGATCAAATGCAAAAAAAATTGTCTCTCTAAGAAAAATTGAATTTTTTTTAGCAACACGTTGATTTCACAGTAGACAATTGAATTGGATTTATATTTACAGAACTTATGGTATCAAACGGTTGTCACGTTGCGTGTATGCAAGAACTTTATTTCAATGAACCAAATACAATATACTTCTCTACAAAAGTTATGGCGAAAATTAAAAAGCTATTTTTAGCATATAGGTAGTCAAGGTCACATGTTTTTGATGTCATTTGAAATAGCTTTATGTGGTATTGTTTTTAAATTGTGCTAACAACTTTAGTTAACAAAGGATTGAACAAAAAAAAAAAAGATGCGTTTGTGAAACATTGATGTCCCCGTATGGTAGCAATGGCGAGGGTTCTCGGATGCAACTCAAACTCCAAAGGTCAAAATTGTTATGTGGTGAAAAAGTTTTATGCCCATTGAACACTTTTACCTAGACTTAGTGCTACATGTATGCATATATGTACAATTTTTTTTATTATTTTTTATTAATATTTTGGTATAAATACATATCAAAATGAAATCTTTTCTCTCATTGTTCAAAAACATTGAATTGCAACAGGTAAAGACAAACAGAAATGACAAAAAAATTATTTCGGAAATGAAAACAAAAAATCGTTAATTTATATATATAGAGTGGGGGTAGAGATTCTTTAGACAATGTTAGTTTAAGCAAATTTTCTGAATTGATATGATAGATTAT